CAAAACAAAACAAAACAAAAAAACAAATCCTACTTCCCTAGGTAGCACTATCTGATTCTGTTTCCCCAGGGATCCTGTACTACGTTTACATGGGACTGCTTGCAGTGTTCTGTACCAATGCCATCAATATCCTAGCAGGAATTAATGGCCTAGAGGCTGGTCAGTCACTCGTCATCTCTGCTTCTATCATTGTCTTCAACCTGGTGGAGCTGGAAGGTAGGTGGGATTGAAAATGGAGAGAAAAAGATGCTTGAGTGTTAAGGGGATTGCCCAGTGTGGATCTAGATAATTCCTGGGGGAAGGCGACAACACAAAAGCGATTTCAGAATGGAAGCTAAACAGCTGTAAGGAGTTAAGCATGAGAAAGAAAAACAGCAGTGCTGTCGTTTATAGCTTGAATGCCATGAATAGCTAGACCAAGGATTCCAATGGGACATACAGTTCCACAGAACCCCAGCATCAGAGTCACCCTCTGACCACAGTGGAAAAAGACAAAAAAACAAAAAAGCAGAGACTCTCACTGAGGACAGGCAAACCCACAATGCTGAGCAATATAAAAAGGACCAGGATTCCCTCTTAGCTAACATGAGAGGGTACAGATTTTTCCCAATAGCAGTTCAGTTCTTCCTACTTCTTTTTGTTTTGTTATTTTGAGACACTCTTGCTATGTAACCCTGGCTGGCTTCAAACTCATATGACATCTTTATCTGTCTTCCCAGCACCGTGATTATAGGCATGCTTACTATTTTTTTTTTTTTTTTTTAACTCATGCCTTCTGAGGGCTCCCAGTTCAGGGCACATCTCTACTTACTTTCTTTTCCAAATTACCCAAAACAAATCCTAAAACAAGCCCCTCAGCACCCCTTGAAAGAGATGGTTTATGGTTCCCTGTGGTATATGGTTTCGGAAGTCTTAGTTTCTAAGTAAACCCAAGTCTGACTATTAGATATTTCTGGTTGTCATTAGTTAATGGACATCAACAAGTGCTTGTTAAACCTAAGCACTTTGTTTTTGTTTTTTCGGGACAGGGTTTCTCTGTGTAACAGTCCTGGCTGTCCTGGCACTAGAACTAGCTCGGTAGACCAGGCTGGCCTCAAACTCACAGAGATCCACCTGCCTCTGCCTCCCAAGGGTTGGGATTAAAGGTGTGCACCGCTGCTGCTGCTGCTGCTGCTGCTGCCACCGCCACCACCACCCTTCACAACTTTGTTTTGAGACAGGGCTGTACCATGTAGCCCTGGATCTCATAGAGATGCAAGTGCTGAGATTAAAGGCATGTGCAGCTTACCTGGCCCCAGCTAAAGCTAAGCACTTTTAAAGCATTATCTTGTTTAAATCAAGTGATGGCTCTGTGTAACAAGCAATATCCAGTTTGACACAGCTAAGAAGTAAAACTGGTATCCAAACCCCAGCTGGATTTCTAAACCACATTAAGACAGTCATTAGTTTTTCTGAAGGCTCAATAAAAGTGCTAGAGTATTGGGAACTGCCTGGGTGATGTGAAAGGGTGAAAGAAGTTAGAACTGGACATGGTGGTGAATACCTGTAATCCCAGCACATGGGAGGTGGAGGCCAGATTTGGCTACATGAATATATATTAGACACAGATGAGACCCAGGTGCATAGGATATGTGGGTACTAATGTGGGTACTAACTTCTTTCTTTTTACTCTGCTCCAAAGGTGATTATCGGGATGATCATGTCTTTTCCCTCTACTTCATGATACCATTTTTTTTTACCACCTTGGGATTGCTATACCATAACTGGTAAGTAGACCTATGGATAAGAAAGTGATTGGCATATGTGGGAGAGATGGTCTAGACATAACCCAGCTTCTAATGAAGAAACTAAGAGACTAAAATTGTGCATACCTTTGTTGGGTATTCTCTGGGTCTTCGATTGGTAGTAGTTTGTCATTCCTGTTGTTTTGTGTGTGAGCATGAACATTCATGTATTTATGGTACAGGGGATTGAATCTGGAATCTTCGAAATGCTAGGCAAGCACTCTACTACTTGGATATACCCCTGGCCCCCTTTTTCTTCTTTTGAGGTGGGTGGGGGTAGGGGGGTCTCACTTAAGTTATTCAAGTTGACATTGAAGTTACTGTATTGTCAAGGCTGGACTCAAACTTATAATCCTCCTGCCTTAAATTGCTATAACTGCTGAGATTATAGGCATGTGCTAATAGATACTAACCCTAACACACACACACACAAACACATGCACGCATGCCAGCCATAGTGTTGGGATTCAAAATCATGACCTTGTATATGCTAGGTGACTGTTTAATCACTGAGTCACATAGCCAGCCTGGTAGTTACTCTAGAATTGCTGTCTCCCCTGCAGTAGCTGGGAATAAATGCTATGGAACCCCCAGGAGTAGATGAATTTAGAGCCTTGGGCCCTGCAGAGTTTCTGGGACAGCCTTTCCTTTAGAGCTCAGGGTCAGGACCAGCCTGTTGGTGTGTGTGATGTGAAAAAAAGGGTCGGTAATGATTCTTGCCATTGGCTCAGATCCTCAGATCCTCTCTCCCATACAGGTATCCGTCACAGGTGTTTGTGGGAGATACTTTCTGTTATTTTGCTGGCATGACCTTTGCCGTGGTGGGAATCTTGGGACACTTCAGCAAGACCATGCTACTCTTCTTTATTCCACAAGTATTCAATTTCCTGTACTCACTGCCTCAGCTCTTTCATGTCATCCCCTGCCCGAGACACCGAATACCCAGGTAGGCACTCTGGAGCTTCAAAGGGTCATTGTAGCTTTTCACCTGGGAAAGCTAAACAGCCTGTCCATTTCCTTTGTAAGAAGTGGAGGAAAAGAAGGGGTAACTGTATGTAGGTAGTTCATTCTACTTTATGAAGCACATTTACTTATATAACCCAGATGTAAGCAGCAGAGCCAGAAACAAACCTCAATGCTAAGTGTCGGTCTTCTTAGTAACTGCAGGGTGTAAGGTTCAGAGTAGTGATTTAATCACATGACATCATCTATTTGCAGACTCAATACAAAGACGGGCAAACTGGAGATGAGCTATTCCAAGTTCAAGACCAAGAGCCTCTCTTTCTTGGGCACCTTTATTTTAAAGGTAACAAGGTAACAAGGAGGTAAGGCCCCAGGCCACCATCCTAACTTGAGAAAAGGGAAACCTAGGTCTTCTCAGACCCAAGGGGAGTTGGAAACATCAAGAAGATCCCCTGTGGATGAAATGTCTATAACTGAAGTTGTCTTCACCTCTGGCCCCTCCAGGTAGCAGAGCGCCTCCGGCTAGTGACAGTTCACCGAGGGGAGAGTGAGGATGGTGCCTTCACTGAATGTAACAACATGACCCTCATCAACTTGCTACTCAAAGTCTTTGGGCCCATACATGAGAGAAACCTCACACTTCTCCTGCTGCTTTTACAGGTAAAATTGAGGGTGGGGTAAATTATGTCAATGTCCTTATCTCAATTTCACCTTGGTTCTTATTCCAGTCCATTTCTCCTTCTAGATCCTGAGCAGTGCTGTCACCTTCTCCATTCGATACCAGCTCGTCAGACTCTTCTATGATGTCTGAGTTCCCTGAAGATTGCCCTTTACCACATAGTCTGGACCTCACCCAGGACCAGCCTGTCTGGTCCAAGACTGCCTTCCTGTCCAGGTCTCTCTGACTGTCCACTTTTCAGTTTTGTTTTCAGCTTCTCCCATCATCTGTGATTATTGACCTGAACCTTATTGGACTTAAAAGTCCATTGGTTGGACTTTGCCTATGGCTTTCTTCATCTTGCTACTCTCTCCCTTTCTGTCCCATCTGCAACCTCATAAGGGATGTAGCAGCCTTTAAGCAGATATTCACAACTCAACTTTCAGAGCCCTGAATTTGCTGGACCTTGAGAGAAGCTGGGCTAGGGCCTATTGTTAGGGCCCTATCTTCCAAGGTAACCCCACATTTCAAAATTAAGTGTTCTGATTAGGAAGAGCAGAGGCAGGGCCACGTGCTCAAAATGGTGACAATAAAAGATTGTCCTTCACTTGCTCCTATAGGTATATACACTCCTCTCCCTTTCTTTCTAGCCTTTGAGGTGCTTGAGGAGCGAACTCCTTGTACTTATGCTTTGCCACTGAATACTATACACCTATCCCAGCATGATGTATTTATCATTCATATGGGCATTTTAGGATCGATTGGAAGGGTTGGGTGGGTACCTTTTCCAATAGGATACCTACTTACCTTTGCCCCATCAGACCCTTTCCTGCAAGAAAGCCACAGAACTGAAACCAGACAGAACATGTGGAATAAATATTAAAATACTAACTTGTGGTAGCACAAAGGATCACAGTGCTCAGTTTTCTGGCATAGGATTGTACTCTCAGGTTTCATTTTTTTGTCTTTTAAACTCCCTTTGCCAAATTTGAAGAGAGAGTGGGAGTGCCCCTGACCCGGAAGGAGAACTCTTCCCCTTTAACTCCTCCCCCACCCCGCGTTCCCCACCCTCCCCACGCCATCCCCGCCCCACCGCCAGCGGTTCCGGTGGCTGTCCAGGAACTCACTCTGTTACCAGGCTATCCTGCCTCTGTTTCCCGATTGCTTCAGTTAAAGGCATGCACTACTATCGTCCGGCTGACCCTTTTACTTAAAAACCCTAGGCCGGCCGGCCCAGATTGCCCAGAGATAGTAAAGGTGGCTAGGGACTCCACCTTCCTTGTCTTCTAGTGCTGGTGGCGCGCAGCAGAGTTTAAATTTCGCGCGCTTAATAAGGATTGGCCACTTCCATGGGTGATTAGCCTGCTGTTTGTGGCCACTCCGCCTTGCTTTCTTCCCCGGGTAAAAGGTTTTCAAATTGGACCAATCGCTGGGCGAGCTCTCTTCGCCTAGGCGCGTCACCGAAGGGTTAATTGCAGCCAACCAGTGGCCGGTACTAAAGAAAAGAGCCAATCAGGCGGAGGCGGGGGCGTGTCCGTGGAGTTTATAAGGACGAGCTCGCCCGCGCGCTGTGACGGTTTACTGCGGCGGTTGGCAGTTTCCTATCGTCGCTGTTGCTCTCTTTCCTTTCTACCTCGTGTACGATGTCGGGTCGTGGCAAAACCGGAGGCAAGGCCCGCGCCAAGGCCAAGTCGCGCTCCTCGCGCGCCGGCCTACAGTTCCCGGTAGGCCGCGTGCACCGGCTGCTGCGGAAAGGCCACTATGCCGAGCGCGTGGGCGCCGGCGCCCCGGTGTACCTGGCGGCCGTGCTCGAGTACCTCACCGCTGAGATTCTGGAGCTGGCGGGCAATGCGGCGCGGGACAACAAGAAGACGCGCATCATCCCGCGCCACCTGCAGCTGGCCATCCGCAACGACGAGGAGCTCAACAAGCTTCTGGGCGGCGTGACGATCGCGCAGGGCGGCGTCCTGCCCAACATCCAGGCCGTGCTGCTGCCCAAGAAGACGAGCGCCACCGTGGGGCCTAAGGCGCCGGCGGGCGGCAAGAAGGCCACCCAGGCCTCTCAGGAGTACTAAGGGAGCACGCTCCATGCCCGCCCAGCCCTCCCCACACCTCCACAAAGGCCCTTTTAAGGGCCACCACCTCCCTCACGGAAAGAGCTGAGCCACTTAGGGCTGCGGGCCGATTTGCCGCGTCCCCACTCCCTTTTCTCTGCTATCGCGCGTTCCTGCCTCCCCTTCCCTGCACGGCCTCCGGGTCAGCCTCGGAGGACGCGGTTGCCGGAGCTTCTCCGGTCTCCGTCTCGATGGGCCGTGCGGAGCGGTTGCGACACCTTCCAGAAGTCTCGGCCTTTTGCTGTGACGTACGGCCGAGGTGGGCCTGAAGGTGAGTTCCTCCGCAGCTGCAACCTGGGCGTCTTTTCTTCAGCTTGGTGCTTAGCCCTCGCCTGGACGGACCTTGCAGAAGTGACTTGATTACCAGGCTTTGGTGAAGAGAAATGGATCATATTGTTTGGTCCTGTATGTCCTCCTTGCTGGCCTCATACCAGTTTACCCCATCTTCATTCATAGGCCGGTGTGTGGTGTTGCCAGGACAAAAATCACTGTAATATGAACCGGTTTTCTCCAGGATACCTCCTGGAAAGGATCTGGGAGAAGCTTTCAGGCCTGTGGACAGAAGAGCTGTGTTCCTGCCGCAGGAGGCTGGCAGCCAGGCCTAGCCATCCCCTTTTTTCCACAGCGACTCAACTCACAACCCAAATACCTAGATACCAGCACAAGTCGGTGAATCCCTGTGTGGACTGAGCCTCTGTTGGCTTCTGAACTGGAATTTTGCAGCTATCCCAAGTTTAGAACCTTAGGTAGTGGGGAATTTCAATGGGCTAATTTTATTAAATGATTGTTTGGTTTTTTAAAAAGCAGAGTGTCTTGATTAATTTCGAATTGCTGTAGGCCCGGGGCTGGGGTTTTATAGCTCCGTGGTAGAGCCATGTACCTGGCATGTGTTGTGAGGTGGGAGTGAAATTTAAGTTCCCTTCAGGCAGTGGGATTGGGCAAGGCTGTGTAATAAAAGTAGGTCCTGGTAACTGAAGGCAGCCTGAAGGCTGTTTTCTTTGTGTTGCTTCCTGGGATACATTCTGAAAATATGAGTCAATTACAGAAAGTATTTAACAGAAGTTTTAGAATTCGGGTTTAAATGGGCTTTGTGTTTATTCCCCAACTCCACCAAAACAACCACATTCAGAACTGGTTTAATTATTAGTGGCATTGGTTACATTCGATATTGGTGTGGACTTTTTCTAAAGAGATGAAGCCCCAACCACTGAGGAGAAAAGGCAGTCATCAAGGCCCCAAGGTGAGGCATGTCTCTGGAAGTGTCAACACCCTGTGGTTCAATCTCCTGGGCTAGTCACTCCTTTCCAAGTTAGGGAGCACAGGGCACTTGAAAGCCAGATGTAGGCACTAGAAAGTGGCAGCAGGTTTCCTGTATCCTACAGACCAGTTAGTGCACATCATTAAGCTGCCGTGCAACATCCAGGATATTCTTGGCTCCTTTGTTAAGCAGCAAGCTGGCCAGGCTGATGCCCAGGTTCTCAGCAGCCAGCTGGGCCCCTCTTGGAATGTTTCGGGCAGTGATTCCAACAAGCTGGGGGTCATCCTCTGGACCATCTTCATGCTGGATGACAGAAGTTATAATTTGGTGAGAGGGAAGATACTAAAGTACTTTTGCTTATTCCTCATCTCCCAGTCAATACCTGAACAGGGACCTGGATGGTAGCCTGCATGGTCTCTTGCATGCTGTCTGAGCCATCTAGACTCCACACTCCTCCAGTTAGGTACAGCTAGGAGATAAAATGGGTTGCTTACATGTTTGGGTGCACAAAGAAATGCCACAATCCCTTCCCCTCCCTCATCCATTTTCCCTGCTTACCTGCCCATCACTCATTATTGTATGTACTGCTACTGGCACGCTGCAGCCTCCTTCCTGCAATGACAGACCTTTGAGTTCTAAGGGCCTTTAACACCACTTTTTGATCACAAACCTCTAAGGATATTCACTGAAAAGGATACTGGGGCCAGACCAACGCCTACACTTTCCCCTAACTTTTGAGTTACTACTGCATGTAGAGCATTTACTTGAGAAATCTTCCTGCCTTTCCTGATTCCAAGTCCTCATACCACTATAGTAGGAGCCCAAGTCTTACCAGATGCCTCAGAAATGCCCGTTCAGCAATGCAGCGAAGCACAGTCTCAGGATCATGCAACACACTCACTAGTTCCAAGATATCCTGGTCCTTGGCTCGGACTTCCACCGCTAGGGCTCCCTAAGGAAAAACAGGCCTAATCTTTCTCTAGTCATGGCTGAACATGGGAACCACTCCTACCTGCTTCCCAGGGTCTTCTGCTTGCCAAAGCCTGCCCCTCCCTGAATATTTTATTTGATTGGAAGTAGATGCCAAAGCATAATGGCACTGAACCCAGGTTCTTGAAAGGGCACATGAACAAAGCCAAACTAGGCAAACTTACCTGACCCACAGCATACATACATTCCTCTGGATGCAAGATCTGTGGAAGCAGACAGAACAGACGGAATGATGGGCTGTCCAAAAGCAGTGAACTACAGTTTGCCAACTGGGAAGCTGGGGAATGCACAAGCAGAAATCCAGCCTCTAATCCCACTCTCCCTAGCCTGGGCTTACATCTGGCTCGTAGTGTTATTGGCAGAGTAGTCGCAAAGATAGCAGGAGAGAGGCAGATTAAAATGAAAACGGAATGGGGAATCTCCTACCTGCCCCACCCGGTTCTGCCAGCCCATGCGCTGTAGGCCAGCCACAGCCAGGATAATCGCACTGAAGTCCTGCTGCTCATCTAGCTTCCTTAGCCGGGTGTTGAGGTTTCCCCGCTGTGGAGAGATGCTAAGGAGAATCATGACCCACACAGTACACCCTCTTCCCCATAGTCTCTTCCCCTTTTAGCTGACTTTTAAAGATACTTGGACAGGATCTCACAGTGTAGCCTGGCTGTACTGGGACTTACTATGTAGACCAGGCTGACCTTGAACTAAAAGAGATCTGCCTGCCTCTGCCTCCAAAGTGCTAGGATTAAAGGCATACGCCACCACACCTGACTAGAACATACTATTTCTAATTATTTCAGCTTTATGTGTATGGGTGTTTTGCATGCATGTGTCTGCAGAGGCCAGAAGAGGGCATCAGATCCCCTAGAGCAGAAGTCAGAAACAGCTGTGAGCCACCCAAGTGGGTGGCTGGGAGTTGAACCAGGGTCCTCTGGAAAAGCAGCCTGTGCTTTCAACCACTGAGCCATCTCCCCAGGCCCAGAACATACTGTTTTTAAAATTAGTTTTGTGAAACACACAACATAGTTACTGTAAAAATCAAAACTGTATAGTCACCAAGAAGTAATTACTGATCAGTACCACTTGTATTGTCAATGCCTATCTGTCTTGCTAACATGCAGACTCTATATAAGCAGGAACAAGGCTTATTTTATAATCAACCTGGTTGCCAGGCACCTGCCAGAGTTGAAGAAAACACTAAAGATGGATGGATTGATGGATGGATGGATGGATGGATAACCCACTGTCCCCATGGGCCACTTGCTTTGGAGAGCCCTTCTATACTCAGGACTCTCAAGAGTCCTCTGGACCTTCTCTTCCTCTTTGCCCACTGCCCTTCCCTCTTGTGAAAGGATACGATACTCTTGAATTCCAGATGTGGAAATTTTCTCTGCAGCTGGGCCACTCTCCTCAGGGAGCTGGTTCCCACTGCACTGCTCAAAGAGAGTTTAAAGTTAAATTTAACATGGACTGCCTGCTGTTCTCCACTGCCCGTCCCTGTCTTCTGTACACCAGGTCCACTCACCTTTTCTCTGGCAAGGTTTCTAGGGTTTTTCCAATAAATTTTGGGTGAAAGACAACAGCATCACAAGGATTTTCCCGTCTGGAGAGTAAGTAATGAAAAAAACTATTATTTGGAGACAAGGTTTAACTCTAGCCCTAAAATGTACTATGTACCCCAGGCTAGCCTCTAATTCACAATGATCCTTCTGTCTCAGCCTCCTGGATGCTAAGAATAAAGGTGTGAGCCAGCAGGCCTGACACTTTATTTTCTTTTTAAAGGGTTTTGTGTTTTGCTTTTTTCCCCCCTTTGTTTTCAAGACAGGATTTCTCTGTGTAACAGCCCTAACTTTCCTGGAACTCTCTCTGTAGACCAGGCCAGATTGGCCCAACTCACAGAGATCCACCTGCCTCTGCCTCCTGAGTGCTAGCATTAAAAGCATTAAAAGCGTGTACCACCACTACCCAGCAATGTTTTGCTTTCTTGATTGTCTACAGTTTTTATTTATGGGGTGGGAGAGTATGCATGGCATGGTGTGTGTGTGTGTGTGTGTGTGTGTGAGAGAGAGAGAGAGAGAGAGAGAGAGAGAGAGATTATAACTTATGGGATTCAATTCTTCCCTTTCACCATGTGGACACCAGGTATTGTACTCAGGTCATCAGACTTGGAAGCAAATGCCTTTACCAGCTAACCCATGGTAAGCAAGCCTTCTTTCACCCCACACCTTGAGACACAATCTCACCTAGTTTTCAGGCTGTGAACCCGTCTTAGCCCTCCCTAGTAGCTAGGATTATAGGCTTGTGCCACTGAACCCAACTCCATGCATACTAACTACACAACCAATCTGTTTTTCCAGCATTTTCTGCCATGCTTAATGACTGACAACCTTCCCAGCAGAGTGAAAAAAGTCAGACTCCCATGGTGTGATCAATCCCTGGCCCAGCCCCCCTCACATGCATAACTCTTACTTGCAGATGGCTCCAATGGTGAAGCCAGGAGGTAGTATAGTAGGCACATCCTTCAGCGAGTGAACAACCAGGTCCACTCTAGAGACGAGAGGGGAGGACATGGAAAGAGGCTTTGAGTAGCTGACCTTACACTCTTCTACCTACCTGAGCTGCGACTACAGCTGTTCAGGAAGTGATGGTCCTAAGACCTAAAGACCCTGAAGGCTGCCTTCCTCTCAACTATTCTACCCATTTCCCAGCCAATCTTATACTCCATGCAGTTAGGTGGCTCCAAAGCAAGACACTCTGCTTTGTGAAAGCTTATCAACAGCCCTGCTAATACTGGGGAGCCACTTTGGGGTTCTAGCAAGAGACTGGAGGAGTACCACCCTTCCTATTTTCACTTACTCATTTTTCTCCAGGGCGTATTCTAGCTCCTTGGTAAACAGACTTTTCTCTCCAATCTGCCAGAGAAGAAAGAGCCTCAGAGTGACCCTCTTAGGTGAGTAAGTGGAGAGAGGGACTAGAAGAGCAGGGATAGGGGCTGTCATTACCTTAGAGAGTGCAGTATCAAGAATCTTGTCCCCTGTGGTAGACATAGCAACTGAGGAGAGAATCAATCAGGTACCCATTAGTCAGCATCTATTGAGTCCTCAGGAGTTCAGCACTGGACTAAGATTCACAGTGGGTCAGAGGCCCATAGGCCCCAGCTCCTACCCTCTGGGAACACACACACTAACAGAAAAAGCAGACAGGCTCATAAAAAGACCCAAGGCAAAAGGCATTAAATACCAGGCTAGCCCAGGCAGTCTGCAAGCAGCCAAAACAGATTCTCACAAGCAGGCCTTGACCATGGCAAAGCCAAATGTGCCATATTCTCCCATGCATTGGCTTCCCATTCACCCCTCTCAAGAAAACTTACTGATTTCAAACTGCATGCCAGGGTGCAAAGTTTTCAGCATCGCCACCACAGTGTCGGTCTGTATTCGAGCCAGCTGGGGACAGAAAGTCAGATTGTTCCTACCCTTGCCTGGCCATTGCCCCAGACCCAAATCCTCATGTGGGTTAAGAAAGATTAAAAAAGGGACTAGGCTTCTCACATGGGTATCTCCTAGAAAGGCCTGGTGTGGGAGTCCTTTCTCTGTACTCCAACCACTTCCCTGGCCTAGGGACTTTCTTTTCAGAGGAAGTAAGCTACCATTCCCTATGAAATTGACTCCCAGGCACTCTTATTTCTGGGTCCCCTCAACTGATGACCTTGTGAGCATGTGTTAGAACTCTTCTGGCAACTCCCTCTGTCTGTACTCACCTGGCTCTTACGGGTCCCCACACGAATCACCCTCATCTTTGAGCCGTTTTCTTCCTGCAGAAGGAAGTCCCCAGGTTACAGTCTGTTCCACAACAGCTTATCCAAGAGCTAGGATCCCAGGCTTAGGAGAAAGGAACCCCAGGCCCTGGCCAGGGAAAGACTCCCACGACTGGTCTTTTAACCTTCCTCAGTACCTTCTGCTCTCCTACAGGATCCAGAAGAGGAAAGCTAGGATTCTTTGTGGTAGCAGCAGCAACTAGGACACTGAGTCTCAAAGCCAGCCTGGCCAAGGCCGTTCTCAGTGGGAGGGCTGCACACAGCCAGGTGGGTACAATGATAAGGCCGATCAGCTCAAGCAGAGTGAGGGTGGGCCCTGCTGGAGGGTGGGGCAGCACAGCTGAAGCCACATCACTAGAGGACAGGTTCACTGTCCACACCAGCTCAGGCACTTGAGCAAGCCCCACTAACCCCTAGGTGAGACAGGATGTGCCCCTTTAAAGACTGAGGTCAGCCAACCTAATATATAGTACTGTTCATCCTTTTGACTAGGTGACTTTGGGGACATCATCCCACCAAGAGCCTGTTAAATGAAAGGCCACCTAATGCCTCAAGCTTATGATAAACTGCCCAACATTCATTTGTCTAAATGCTTTCTCTGATGTCAGAGCCAGAGCTCAAAGGACACGCCTCTTCCTCCTGTCATGGTGCCTTGGATAAAGGTGTTTAATGCCGAGCAGGTAGAACGGGGATCTGCAATCTGACACAAAGGTCTGATTTCTTTCTGCTGACTGGAGCCACTCTAGAAACTGTCCACCTTCCCTGCGCTGGGCCACTCATCTCACAGCTTCTTCTGCAGCCAAACACTCAGTTTCCTGGTCATTGTAGGCAGTGAAAACTTGCTCCTGAACTCCAGTCCTCCACTGTGATTACTCCTCCAACAAATGACTCTGAGACAGCCTTTGCAGTTTAGCTAGGATTGAAATACTCAACTTGGAAACTCTAGGCCACAGGGAGCCCACAGAAAGGAATTACTAGGTTCAAGCAATTCCTTAAATTGACTGACCAGTACAATATTTTCAAATCCAACTGTTCCATTAAAAAATAAGTATTGACAGGACAGGCTCCAGAGCTACAGAGAAACCCTGTCCTGGAAATAAGTATCGGGTGGTGGCATACACCTTTAATCTCCGCACTCAGTACTACGAGTTCCAGGACAGCCAGGATTACACAAAGAAACCCTGTCTCAAAACACACACACACACCAAAAAAAGTATTGTGAGGTGAGGGGCTGAAGAGATGGTTCCCTGATAAAGCACTGGCTGTTTTCCACAGGACCTAGGTTCAATTCCCAGCACCCACACAGAGGTCACAAATGTTTGTAACTCTGGTTCCTTCTTCTGGCCTCTGTTGGGCACACATGTAGTTCATGTCTACAGACATGAATTTAAGCAAAATCCACATAAAAATACACATAAATACACATAAAATAAACAAATTAATTTTGTTTTGTTTTTCCATACAAGATCTCTCTGTAGTCCTGGCTGTCCTAGAACTCACTCTGTAGACCAGGCTGACCTCAAACTCAGAGATCTGCCTGCCTCTGCTGGGATTAAAGGTGTGCACATGCCACCACTGCTAGGCATAATAAATTAACTTTTTAAAAAAGTATTTTCAGGCCAGGCGTGGGTGGCACATGCCTTTAATCCCAGCACTCAGGAGGCAGAGGCAGGCGGATCTCTGAGGATTCAAGGCCAGCCTGGCCTACAGACAGAGCTCCAGGCCAGGCTCCAAAGCTACACAGAGAACCCCTGTCTCGAAAAACAAAAAGAAAAACCAAACAAACAAAAAAGTAACTGGAGTTGAGCATGTGTGACATGCCTTTAATCCCAGCACTCAGGAGGTATGGTAGACATATCTCTGAGTTTGAGGTCACCCTGGTCTACAAAGTGAGTTCCAGGACAGCCAGGGCTGTTACAGAGAAACACTGTCTCCAAAATAAACAAACAAAAAACAGCCGAAGTGTTTGCTGTGCAAACCTGAAGCCATTAAGTTCTATCCTCAGATTCTGTGGAAGGAAAACCCATGTCCAAAAGTTATCCTCTGTTCCACGCTTGCACTGAGGTATGCATGGTGGCACATGTCTGTAGTCTCAACATTCAATAAGGTGATAACTAAGAGAACGGCTCAGCCCAGGAGTCTGAGACCAACCTGGTGAAGGGAATATTATCACTTACAAGCTTGAGCCATCATCTTTGCATATTGTCCTCACAACAACCCTACAAGGTTAGACAGGGTAGGTACTTCCACCACGTGTCTCAGAAAGAACGATGCAGAGAGGTCAAATGACTGGCTAAAAGTCTCAACAGACAGGTAGAAAGTGGGTACTAGAATCCAGACCTTCCTCCCGCTAACCCACAGCTCTGAAATGTCTTCACTAGCAAAGCCTCCTGATTCTGAAGCCTGGGCAAAAGATAAGCAGTCTCTCGGCTCTGCCTTATCTCACTCAGGCAGCCAGTGGCCTCAGAGCTCGGCTCAATGCCTGCCAACAAGTCCAGAGCTTTCCAGTAGGCAAGAAATGACAAGGCCTAAGTGGTTCTCCATTCACAATAGTAATTCAGGTGTGTCTCAGCTTGGGCTGTTGTGGGTGGCTGAGGCCGGGTGACTCTGATAACGGAGAGAGGGAGATATACAAGATGTTTGTATATAATTCTAAGACTTGGGGTGTGCTCTCCTATGAATCAATCGGATCATGTTTCAAGGCAGCTGGATTTGCCTTTGCCCTTACTTTGTGAAAGGATCTTGTTTGTATATACACCTCTACTGGCCCTCTAACCCTGAGCCCGGCCAGGAAAACCCTCTTCCCTTCCTAGGGGCAAATGAGTTACTGGCCCTTTAAAATGTCAACAAGGCGGGATCAAAATGACAGCCAGCTATTCTGACCAATAGACGACGGAGCATGGCAGCCCCGGACCAATTGTTGCATCCAAAAAAGCCAAGAAGTGCAGATCACCGGCTCAGGACTCACCGCGGTTGCAGCCGCGCTGCCGTTACCGGACATGACTCCGCTCAGGGCGCAGGCGCGGCGCTGCCGCTGCGGTCCCCTGAGGTCTGCAGAAGCCGGCGACCTGGGCCGGCGGGGACTGAAGGCACATGGGGCCCGAGCCCGCACTTCAGCCGGGCGGCAGGACCTGCTGAGCTCTGCGTCACGTCCGCTGCCCTCCCTCGAAGGGGCGGCACCTTCCTCTGGGCGGGAATTAGGATTGCGACATAGCTCGCCTCATCGTGGGCATTCACCTTGCTTGCTGCACAGAATTCAGGTTTTTTTTGTTTGTTTGTTTGTTTGTTTTTAAATATTTTTTGTTTTTATTTCTTATTTTGTTTTGTGTTTTCGACACAGGGTTTCTCTTTGTAGCCCTGGCTATCCTGGTACTCACAATGTAGACCAGGCTGGCCTCAAACTCAGAGATGAGCCTGCCTTTGCCACTAGTTCTGGCATTAAAGGCGTGCACAACCACCGCCTGACTTTTTGTTGTTGTTGTTGCATTTATTAAATGTGTGTAGTGTAGTGTGTGTGCCCGTGTGCCTTGAAAAGGTTAGAGGCTAATCTAAGGAAGTTGGTTTTCTCCAATCCTCTCAGAGGATTTGAACAAGTTACTGTACCTGCTGGGGTGCATTCATTATCGACAGATAAAAGGGCTCCAAAAGGCTCCTCAGGTTTGTTTTTTGATTTTGGGGTTTTTTGTTTGTTTGGTTGGTTGGTTGGTTGGTTTTTCGAGACAGAGTTTCCCTGTGTAATAGCCCTAGCTGTCCTGGAACTCGCTCTGTAGACCAGGCTGGCCTCGAACTCACAGAAACCCACCTGCCTCTGCCTCCCAATGTGCTGGGACTAAAGGCATGCACCACCAACACATGGTATTTTTAGCTTCACCTCTCCAGTACTGGCATAAGCAATTAGTGGTATTTCTTTTCTTTACAGGCGTGCACCACCAAGACCTGGCCAACATTTTATTTTATTTAAATACAGGGTTTGGGCTATTATGAGCTCAGGCTGGCCTTTAACTTTTCCATTGTTCAGCCTCAGCCTCTCAAGAGTAGACAGTATTTTTTGTTTTTGTTTGAGACAGGGTCTCATGTAGCCCAGCTAAAAATTTGCCATGTAGCCCAGAACGACCTTGGTCTCCACATAGGTACGTCATAGGATTACAGCATGTACCACCATTTGATCCCAGAGCTTGGGAGGCAGAGGCAGGAGGATCTCTGAGTGTTATCTTACAAAGTGAGTTCTAGGATAGCCAGGGCTACACAGAGAAACCCTATCTGGAAAAACAAAACACACACACACACACACACACACACACACACTAGTTCAAAGAGATGAATTGTGAGTGGTTAAGAGCATTTGCTGCTGAAACTCCAGGTCTAGAGGTTCTGATACCCTCTTCTAGTCTTCCTGAGGAGGCATGCATGAGGTATGCATACATACAGGCATGCATTCACACATGAAATAAAAATAAAACTATCCTGAAGAAAAAGGTCATGCTAAAAGCCAGACATGGTAGTGTTCCTGTAATCCCAGCACTTAGGAGTTGGAGGGTCAGGATCTCAAAGTCATCTTAAGTCACACAGTAAATTTGAAGTTAGTCTGGGCTACAAGAAACCCTAACCAAACCAAACAAAAAAAACCTTTATTCTCAGCACTCAAGAGGGAGAGGCAAATCTCTGCAAGTTTGGAGCCAGACTGGTCCACATAGTGAGATCCTTTCTCAAAAAGGGTGTGTGGGGTATGCAACCCTAAAGACAAATGGGAGGGCAGCACTTATGAGGATGAAATTCTGGGCATACATCGTACCACTAAGCATATTATATCCTCAGCCTTGAAAAGTGCTTGTTTAGGTGTATGCCAGCACTGGGGAGGCTGAAGCAAAAAGATTCTGAATTCAATGCCATGCTGGATAGCAAGACCCTGTCTCAAAAATAAACAGAACACACTCACACACACACACACACACACACACACACACACGCACGCACGCACGCACGCACGCACGATGGACTGGCATGCCCAAAGTCTTGGGTTAGTTCCAAGAAACACACATGGCTCTTCTCACTACTTTGATTAACAGTAATTAATTAAGCATTGTACAAAGACATAGATAGCCATTTGTTTCATAAGTCTGTTAATAGCAGCTATAGGCAAAGTGAAGACAGGATGAGGATGGCTTGAGCTCAGGAGTTCAAAGCTTGCTTAGACAACACAGGAAGACCCTATCTCAAAATGAAAAAGAATAGCCTTGGAGCTGGCAAAATGGCTTAGTTGGTAAAGTACTTGCAGTCATGGGGACCCAAGTTTAAATCCATGGTAAAGGTGGAAGGAGAGAATTCACTCCATGAAGTGTACCATGCGTACTATCACATGCCCATCCTACCTCCACATCTCTCTCACATACACACACAAACCACATACTAAATGAATGTAAAAAAGAAAAGAAAAGAAAATTAAGAGTAGTTCTACCAGGACCAGCTCTAAAGCAATAAAAAAAAAAAAAAAAAAAGTGTGGTGGTGGTGGTGGTATACTCTTTTAATCCTAGCACTTGGGAGGCAGAGGGCAGAGGCAGGGGGATGTCTGTGAGTTTGAGGCCAGCTTGGTCTATAGAGCAAGTTCCAGGGATAGATCCTATCTCTGTCCAGGAAAAAAAAAAAAAAAAAAAAGAGTAGCCCTAAGTCAAATAATACAACTAGGATTCAATCTCAGGCCATCTGATCCAGTCATCAACCTGCTATAGAAATGGTAGTGGTGCCTGTAAACCCAACACTTGGGAAACTGTTCAAGGCTAGCCAGGGCTACACAGATAGGCTTGTGCTGGGCAATCTGTCATGCTGCCTCTTTAACAAAGCTGTTCAAGCCAGGTGATGGTGACACATGCCTTTAGTCCCAGCACTTGGTAGGCAGAGGTAGGTGAAACTCACTGAGTTTGAGGCCAGCCTGGTCTACAAAGCTACACAGAAAAACCCTGTCTTGAAAAGCTTAAAACAAAACAAAACAAAGCTGCTCCAATCACAGAGCCTGTGATTTTCTCATTTGAGACCAGGTCATTCACTGTAGCCACAGCCTAGTCTGGAACTCACAGACATCTGCTTGCCTTTGCCCTCTTAGTGTGACATACACCACTATGCCTGGCCTGCTACTTTCTTTAAACAATCTCTTAGGAACAATTTACCGACAGGACCCCAAATAACATCACCCAAGTAACAATCACAGTGATATAACCTTTAGCTCAACTTCCAAAGGGGTAAAAATGTTTGAACAAAAGATCTTTTTATCCTGCTTATCTGATATTGAATACAAGATACTAACCTATCATGACTAGGCCCAAGGCTATCTGCCTTCTGTTTATTTAAAAACATTTAAATGTTATTATGTGTGTGTGCGCACATGTGTATGAGGTAAGAGGCCAACTTGAGGGAGTCCTTTCCTTTCACCTTGTGGCCCCAAGGAATCAAACTCAGATTCTCTGGCTGGGCAATGAATCTACCTGCTGAGTCATCTCACTGGATCTGTAGGTTTTGAGACAAGCTCATGCAGTCCACTATCTATTGAAACTGGCTTTTAAACTCTTGACTGTTCTGTCGCCTGCAGAGTGCTAGGTTATAGACATGGGAAGAGTATCATCCCAGTTTCTGCTGGACTAAGCACTCTGCAGGAGACAGAACAGCTCAGTCACTTTTTGTTTTGAGATAAAGGTCTAAGTAACCAGGCATCTAGCCTAGCCTGGCCTGGAACTTGCTCTGTGTTGAAGGCTGCTCCTCCTAACTTGTGTTATTCTGGTCTCAGTTTCTAGTTTACTACACCCAGCTCATTAGGCCTTTTGAAGAAGTTCTTCAGGAGGCTGAGGATAGAGAATAGTGGTGTATTTGCCTAGCATGTGTAGAGCCCTGTGTTCAAGTCCCAACACAATGAAGTATTCAGTGAGTTTAACTTTCCTAGCTGCCACAGGCCCCACCCACTACTGAAATGATGTGGGGCAACCAGTAGGAAGACAGACAGGAAACTAGAATTCTCCAACACAGGGTGGTTCTTAGACATAATTTAGAATCACCTGACAGCTAGGTGTGATGGTGTACACTTTTAATCCTAGACTCACGAGGCAGAAGCAGGAGGATCTTTGGGCCAGCCTGGTCTATGCAGTGAGACCCTATCTAAAACAAAACAAAAAACAAAAACAAAAAAATTCACCTGAAGAGTCCTCATAAGATATTCTTCAACACTCAAGTCATTATACTCTTTATTTATAAGCTCTGAAAGCAAGAAACCAAGCACAGCCTGGTGCCCTTGAATAGAGAATAAAGCAGCTATTGTTCACAGAGAGATTGCTGAGGTGCCCTTCCTCACTGGTGTGGAATAATCTATATTGCTGGTCAGCAGGAGGACAGCAGGCTGGCAGGAGAGGAAGGAAAAGCAGATCCCATCTTGAGTTCCGAGGGTCTGGAACTGTGGTCATGTCTGCTACAACAGCTCGACGAAGGACCATGCCTGTGCTTTAGGGGCCCAGAGTTCCAGGCTTTCCCAGGAGCTGCGTAATTAAGTCCCTCTCCTGGAGTGCATCAGCAGGTCCCGCTGCAGCCCAGCCTCCAGGCTGGGGGTCAGTCTGGCTGTAGGAGGGTCGGTCAGGAGAGTCAACTTGTTGAAAACCCCTCTGCCAAAGTAGTCAGCAATCACAGAAAAGCTATCATTGGAGCATTTGAGCTAGAAGGAAAAAGGAAGAATCAAACCTACAGTGTTCAGTTGATAACTGAAAAGGAAACAAACCCTCTGGTAATCCGAAGACACTGTGTGACACTGGTGCGATGGTGGTGGCCTTGGTCTTGTGTAAATGTGTGTCTGTGTGTGTGTCCACCAACAGAGGCCAGAAGAGGGCATCAGATACCATGGAGCTGAATCACAGGCAATTGTGAGCCTGCTGATATGGACTCAGGAAGTGCTTTTAACTACTGACTCCAGCACACCCTCTTCCCTACCCTTCTTAACCTACTCATCCCCACCTGGTGCTGGAACTGATCGTGGAGATCTCGTTTCTGTTCCTGGGCCCGGATCATGTCCATCACCTTGCGGTTTTCGGGGAGGCAGGTTGGGCAGTCAGCATCACTTTCTGAGTAACTCTCAAAGCAGTGCTGGTGGAAGGAGTGGCCACACAGGAAGTGGACTGAGGGCAG